AATTAGTTCAAATTCAAAGATGTCAATTCTTCCAATGTGAGAAAATCATGGAAAACTGGTTGTCGATTTACCTATACTCCTTACCCTACCCCCCTGAATACACAGCCCCACCCCAGCCTGCACAAAATATCTCAAAAATACACATTATTGATGACAAAATAGTTTGGAAAACTGGTTGTCGAGTGCATGAGCCTGAACTATTTTTTCAGATTTGAAAACAAATCAAAACTATTGCTATAAGATAACAATCAGCAAAGGTGTGTTCTGTTATCTCTAAAAGTGTTTTTAAATATTAATTGTCTTACAATAAATTGCATTAAATTTCTTATAAAAGCAACATATATTCCATATCCAAAATGTTTATTTTCAAACAAATTAAAAAACCCTGATGTTACTTATAATCTTCTGCTGATAAGAAAATCTTTTYGAWTGGGGTACTTATGAACTGWTCARTGCWCTTTGMAATGCTGTTTCTTTGTACTTCATGGTTGCCATGCAAACTTAAACTCCATCAAGGAAACAATAATTTCTTTAGTTGCATATCACTTCTTGTAGTGTCATTTTGGTTAATAACACTGTACATGGGTTGTTCTTTTTACCCCAGGTAAAGTTGAACAGTATTGTTTTCAATGAATGACATATGCTCACTGGAAGAGATGATACAATAATAAAAATTGTAAAGATTGCAGTATCTCTATATGCCATTAAGCAGAAGGGTTTTAGGATTAGTTATCCCATCATTAATTCCAAACTGACCAAGTAGATCAAGGTGGTATAGCAAAAAGTGTCAAAATAATGGGACACAATAACATAATAGTACACATGATTCGAGAAAGATAAAGATTTGCATTAGCTTATTTCATAGGTAAACATTAAATCAGCATTCAAATCCATCACTAACATGACATACAACTTCAAAGAAGTATGTGAATTGGTTGCAAAACCAAACTTTTAAAATGATCTTATGAACATGAACAAAGAAAAGGAATTCCTTTCACAATAATATCATACAGCAAGTTCARTTGTCAGCTCTTGTTCTTCAGCTTTTCTCTCAGATTTAAAAATTTCAAGACRGGTCCTAGCTTCATGAAATAAAGTAGAGAGCTTTCTTCAATTAGCATCAATGCATTSCCATCAATTTCCTGTTCCTCAATAAAAGCAACCATGGCCTCAGAACACTCCTCTTGATTTTTGTAGTACTTAGCCACCTCAGCTACYGACCATTTAGATACATTTGTACTATGTGGTGGTTGACCTCTTTGATGCAAATTATCTAAATTTGAGTCTTCTGCATTGACGTTATCCTTGGGTTGTTKYAAGTGCTGCTGTTTTTGGTGAGAATGTTCTATATTTGTATGCTGTGAAYTGGTGTTCTGGTGCTGCATATATTGACCTCTTTTATGAGAGTTATCCAAATTTGTTTTTTCCAAGTATTTTGTTATATGATTAATTGTTGAGTGATCCTTTGGTTTATTTGAAGGATCCASTTTAGGTTTAGTGACARGATGTGACGACTCTGTTTTTTTAAGTCCACCAAAGCTGGCTGCAATACCAGTGTGCTTTGGAGTATCCTTAGGTTTTGCAGTTGGTGACTTGTTAAAGGTTGATGGATTGACAGGTGTYTTGTTTWCATGTAAACTTTCAGAACCGTTAATATATTGATTTCCATTATTACTAAACCTAATATCTTGTGAAGTAGAAGGGAGGACGTATGTTCTTGGAGCTTGTGTAKTAGACTTACTGGCCATCTCTCTCTCGTCTCTCTGTTCTGCTTTCTTGCTTTCAGGTGTTGGAATACCATTAGAAAGATTTCCTGGACTTTTCTGATTTCTGGTTTCCTGCTTTGATAGTGATTCTGAGCTACTTGATTTGTCTTTGCTGTGACGATAGCTTCTCGCTCGCTGTGACTCGTAAGCAGGACGCACATCAAGAATGTAATCACTAATTTTTGTCTTATTACATTTYTTTAAAGCCATTGCAGCCTCWTCATRGGTGGCAAATTTCACAAAAGCCACACGCTTGTCGTCAGGAGCTTTAATAATTTTGCAAACTTTTATGTAGCCTGATGTATAAAATAAATCTCTTAAGTCATTCTCGTTGAAATCTGGTGGAATATTACTAACATGCAGGCCATATAGCCCGCACCTATCACGTTCRATGAACACCTTTGAAGGGCTGGATGAGTTTTCCATGGTGATTCAAAATATATCTAGTAAATCAGAAAAAAAATAAAGTAAGAAATCTAGTTAGATTTATACATTGATTAAAGAAACCGTTGATTATGTTGTAGGTTAATTGTTTATTTATATCTATTACAAAATGACAATGTTCTTCTTTGTATTCAAACACAATCGAAGGTTCCTTGTTATGCAAATTTCAACATGTGTTCTGGACAAAAAAAACAACTGACTTTATACAAACACATTATTCATCAAGACCAGAAAAAAGATCAACAAGCATAAAAAGTCAAAGTTTCCAATTCAAAGAAATAGCAGGTCAATGCGTAGAGAAAATCAAGAGATAAATTCCCGATAAATATGAAGATATTTCATGTAACTTTAAAAAGGAGCGCTTGTCGCGGCGGTTGCTTGATTCACATGAATGCCCAAGGTTTTAATAACCAAAACTTGAAAATTTCATTTGAAATTATTCATATCGCTAGTTTACCTGTTCCTGAAGGAATTTTGAAGTTCTTGGAATTGGATTTTAAAGGGAGAATTCAAAATCAGACGAAGCAAAGGACAGCAATCTGACAGAACCAACAAATGTAGCTTTGCGCTTCGCTCTCTCACGTGTAACGAGCCGACCGAGAGAGCATGGAAACAGCCACAGGGAACCCGTTACGGAATGCAATATTTCATTTTTTATGTCCCATTTCCATAAATTTGAGATTGTTTTCTCATTTTAATATCATTACATGTAGCCATATCTGGTTATAATAAATTATGTTTATTAAATATCTTATTTGGTCGTGATATTTAAGACATGTCATAAATCAGTATCCCTTACACCGGRCTTGCATCGTAGCTTCTTCTTCTCCATAATTTTCTGTCAGTGAGCTAAACGAGATTTTCAGACGTAAAGAATGTAATCTGGGGGTTTGAGGCTCGGCGTCTTAAACTATTTTACAAACGTACGACCTGTGTCGAAATTTCAGTAGCTCTTTCTTTTTGTGTAAGACTTTTATTTCATAAATATATATGCAGCTGCTATTCCCTTGGACGCACTGTAAATCACGCAAGTATGAAACAAGCCTTCGAATGTTCAGTGGTAACGTCTGTAGAATACGCACGGGGGATATCAGACGGTTACGCACTACGTGCGTGAAGCGCATCAGGAGAATTCTCCCTTCCAAAAGTACCCGAAAGTACTTCTAAACTTGTTCGGCGGAGAGTTTTGATAAGGATGACGTACGTTTACGTTAAGAGACGGAAGTAGCACGTAAAAACTTCGTCAACGAAGTGTCAGTGTCAAAGTGTAAGAACGTCTAAAATTCGCGGCAAAGGAAAGGGAAGTTTTGAAGAGATGATAGTTGCGTGTAAAACTAGACATAAGCAGTATGCTGGAACACCTTCATCGTTATTCGACGGTACGTAACGACAGTCCCGCGTAAACGCAACATCCCGTCCTGCGGTATTAGCGACTTTACAACGAAGTAAAAGTCTAGACTAATTCCATATGTCCGTCCCAGTTCGTTCTCTGTTAGTTTTTTTGCCGAAAAAAGTCCTATATTCATGATATTTTCATTTCTGTGGTAGTTTGAGTCCAAAGTTTTCCTCCCGTGTCATACGTATGTAAAGGTARAGGAGACGATCGAGTTCTTGATATGGCTTCCTTCTTGGGCGATATCGCKGCATCCGCTGTTTGCTCTGCGGAAACGCGACGTAGTTGCTCGTGGYTGCCATCATCTTCGTCCGTGCACGATAACAGGAGACTGGGTGCGACYGGTTCGTCTTCAGGGATCATCATCGTAGGTGGTGGTGAAAGAAACTGTCCCATTAACGTATAAACCGAAATTTTATAAATACTATATTGTTCGTTTTTTGGCGAGGTAGGGGTGGGTGAGTGACCATTTGATATCGAAGTGTTGGCTTTGGGTGGCGATGCTGTGAAATATATATCCAACTGCAAGCAAAAACATGGTCATTAATAATCTATTATTAGCAGCTTGAATAAAGAGATTTGAATACAAAAAAATCTGAAATAAAGTTTTTCTCGATTTTTTTTCTGTCACGGACATTGCGTGACAAGGATGCGTCACGTACCTTTGACGTAATAAGATTAAGATGCGGAAGGACAAGGGTGTGTACGAGGTTACCATTGACAACCAAGCGGATTTCAATCGTTGTGTTGGTAAAAGCTAATAAATAAGGAAACGCACAAACTGAAAAGACAACACATATAAACGAGGTTAGAACGGTATAATAATATAATATGTGGTATTTATATAGCGCCGATATCCTCTGAGTTCACAGGCGCTTCATATGTATAGATCATTTCACAGGGCCCGCTGTTTAAGGCGCAATTGGCAGCCACGCGGCTTACAATCATGAGGGGTTAGTAATTAGTATGGTATTCAACATCGGTCGCCTTCTAGTCCATTGTCGAGTGCGCGAGTTGCTAAGGAGAATTAAATGGGTAGAAGTAGAGACACTTCATAAGTGCTGCCACTTTGCGTTCTGTATTGCACAACGCTACGGCTGCATCAGACAGCAGGGGCGTATCCAGGGGGGTTCATAGGGGGTCAGAGGGTGCCCTTGACCCCCCTTTCAAAGTCAAAAAAGCGTGAAAACCATAGATTTATATGACATCATATTGACGTCAAATGACGTCACAGTGCCAATTTGGCATGTAAGCGACCCCTCCCCTCCCTCCCCCCCAATGAAAATCCTGGATACGCCCATGGACAGAGTTACTATATCCACACTGCTGAACACGTCTCAGTACGCAATACCCGGTAGTATCATAAGGTACTAATAGACAGGGTGCATTTGTTAACTTACCAATTGATCGAGGGGCGGAGTTCCAGTTGAAAACAAAATTAGACGTTTGTTCTCCAGTAAGCTTTTTAAATAGCGATTGATCTGATAGAAAAAAATACGAGCATAAAACACGTTGTTACTGAGGACCATGATTGGTTAGTAAGAAGATATATAACACGTTATATTATTGGTCAGAAGGACAATATGTAACAAGAGTGATGATTGGTCAAAATGCGCTATCGAGGAAATGGCAAGCTGTACTTACGATTAAATGAGAGAAGCATTTCGGGTTCTTCGTCCTCGTAGACGTCAATGGCTGACACCAGAGTCGTTTTCTGACAAATAAGACATATTATTGCATGGTTATACTAACTCTTTCATACGTTAAAAATGTTCTGTCGTCTGAAAAAAATTTTATGCACTAAGTTCAACACATGAGTCTTTGTCACCTTAAGGGTRTCTACAGAATGTAGTCGAGTAGTTTCGCCCGTCTGGTGAACGACGTCAAAGTGGTTTTTGAAGCCAACGCAGATAAACGCGTCTTTAGATTGACTTAAGAACACGGTCATCAGTAATGGTGCATCACCAACTGTCACTTCCTGGATCAAAGGGAAGGATATATAGTCATACATTTAAAACAACCCGATGCAATATCGCGACATTCAAGTTCACAAAGAGTTGCTATAAACACATGTTGAAATAACAGAAGAATTTTCTGATAATGGTTTTCCCTGCATGGTAATGGTTTTCCCTGATAATGGTTTTCAATGGTAATGGTTTTCAATGGTAATGGTTTTCAATGGTAATGGTTTTTCCTGGTACTATGGTTTTCAATGGTAATGTTATTTCCTGCATGGTAATGTTTTTCCTGGTAATGGTTTTCAATGGTAATGTTATTTCCTGCATGGTAATGTTTTTCCCTGCATGGTAATGTTTTTCCTGGTAATGGTTTTTCCTGGTAATGGTTATCTCTCACCTTTATGACAGCAAAGCCATCAATTAGGTCTCGTGTACATGTTGTTCCAGCCCACGTGCTCCAAACCACTTGGTGTTTCCACTTCATTAGCAACACTTTTCGTCCAGACGCAACGCCTAAGAAGAGAGGGTGGCTGCCGCTTATGTTACTAATGGAGTAGAGATGGCACCCTGTAGAAAAAAGGAGAGATAAAACCCGGAGATAAAACAAAGAGAAATAAGAGAAAGAACAAAGGGCATGGGAAAAGGACAGAACGACAGCAATTGAAAACGAGACTGACGGAAAAATGGCTACGACGAAGAAAAGCAACTCGTGAAAGAACAAGAAAGGAAAAGAAAAATCAAAGACCGCGCGAAGGAGAACAATTCGAAGAAGAAGAAAAAGGAGAAACAACTGCAACAACAACAAGACATCGAAGCAAAAAAAAGCAAAATGAAAAACATTATTCCAATCGAAGTAAGGTAAGCTTCATCACCTTTTGTTTTTGGAAGCTTGTGCGGTTTGCAGTCATATTTAACCTTGGTTGGTTGTTCCTCATCTTCAAAGTCCGCCAGTTTAAAAACACAAACTCTAGAATTATGAAACTCTTTTCCTGAAAATAATTGATAAATCATTTGAAGGACATTGGTGTATTAACTGGTCACAAAGGAAAACAATATATCAATATACTATAACTATGTACTTATAGCACCACTAAATTAGACCAACATAAACATGTYGTACARCAGCATATCACMGGTCTCTGTGTTTCTATAAGCTATTTTTTCAGTACAAACCTTTTTCTAGACGAAATAACATCAAACCATAAGCCTCCATTATACTTAGTTGCTTCACTATGATGCCTTTGTCAAATAACTGACGAGTTCTGTCGCCTGGACAAAGAAAGAAGAAAAAAAAATCCAGTAATTTGCAAATATAAGTGTGCACTGCTAAACAACGAAACGATTGAGGTCACTGAGGATGTACATGGAACACACTTAGATATATCACAATGAATAAGATGTACAACGACATTTATTTTAGCAACAACATCAACAACTACAACAACAGCAGCAGCAGCAGCAGCAGCAACAACAACAACAAAAGATGTAAAACTAAAAACAATAGGACAAATAACAGCAGCATGACCAACAAGAACAGTGACAACAGCAGCAGCAACAACAACAACAACAACAAAAGATGTAAAACTAAAAACAGTAGCACAAATAACAGCAGCAGGACCAACAAGAACAGTGACAACAGCAGCAGCAACAACAACAATAACAATGATAATTATACAACGTTGATAATAAACATACAATATTGAACACGACGACGAAGAAAAAATACAAATTAATGAATATATTGCTATCAAGCTCACCATGGACGAGATAAATACCATCTTCTGTTCCTAAAACTAACGCATCCCCTGCAGAAAAACGAGGACAATTAGTTATACTTAAAGTCCACATTTGTTTATTGACTATATATGACGTTTAGTGTCCAAACACTTTGGTAGTACATGAATTAGCATGGCTGTTTGAGAGTCGTTTGACGCATAGTTGTTWGCAATACAATGTCAATAAGCTAGTGATGAAGCGTTCTTCACAATACGCGAGCTAATCGCACAACAAAGCGTTATTTACCCCAAGAATCACCGCATAATATCCGATAAGGGAAATCTTCATAAATATTTTGTGGTTGCCATGGCTGCAAAACAAGGAAAGAGCACGTTACGTTATCTTGATGTCGAGGCTCGTTGGGTTAACACCACCYTCTTACCTCGCACTTGACATTAGCTGTTGTGCTTATGAGACTCGTGGGTGCGTCACCTTTGACTATTGTTTTTAATTTGAGAGACTGTAAATGAARAATTATAAGACTTAYTKACATTATTCTTAGTTTTGCAGCAAYGCATGATATGTMCTTTTTATGACGTAGAGGATRTATACATATGACGTCAAAGATTGAYAATGATGACGTAGAACATACATACTCCTGSCGATKACGAMACCKACCTGACCAAACTGCACGAAGAGCTGTTCTCGTTCTTTTTCTTTTCGTTTGCTTCCACGCGGTTGATCAGAAATGGCGTCTCCCCACGACTTACGTGCACCAATTTTCTACGAAGAATGATAAAGAATGTGMATCAATTATTTATTATGTGATATGATATCCTGCTAWARRAATGCAGCTTCTAGTTTTAGTTAATACCCAGGGCTTCCATTGATAGTAGGTAGCCCTTTGGGTCCTGACGGGGTTACTCTGAGTTTTTGAATTTATGTTTAAATAAAGGTTATATCTGTCTATCTAATCTATCTTTGTCGCCTCTGGAGTTTGGCTGCGATGGCGTACATCAAGGCGACGAACGTAGCCTTTGACGAACGGTATCTTCTTCACAGAAAAGGAGAGATGAAGATTTTAGAAGATATAGAACATACCTCATGCATGTGATCTTGACATAATCTTGTGATCAGACTGTCAAGGGTGCGCTGTCGTCTGCTACTGAAGATTGGTGACGAGTATGCAGCTTTCTCRCCGTTAATAACTACAAGAACAACGTCACAAGCTCATGAAGTACGGTTTCATGAGAAAAATCATTTCAGCACTTACGTTTTACAAGCAAGAAATTCCTGAACTCTTCATGATTGTGGAAAACTGTGGGACAAGGTAGGGGAGGCCCAAATATTGGTACATTCTTTTCTGTGAACGTCGTTACTCTAATGACAATCAATAAATCATTAATTAATCAAAGTCAAGTAATGAATGGCCAACGTTAACCAACTAGTCAGTCAATTAATCAATTGATCAATCATGTAATCAACGAAACAATCAATTAGTTAGCCTGCCAGTAAAAGAATTAATCGGTCAATCAATGAATCAATCTGTCAATCAATCAATCCATCTACCAACGAAGGTGCATTTACTGACCTGTAACTGTCGTCTGTTCTATTGTAAGTGACTAACACAAACACATCTTTGAAATCGTGTTAAGAAATAAGCACATAAATATCAAAAACACCAACGCCATTATTAGCCCTTCGCTGCTGAAATAAATTATAAAATTATCATTATAAATTATCATTAAATGATCAATACATACACGATCATACAATACGCTAGTAAAGGATACGAGTAAATTTGGACTTGACCCCCATCGGTGTGAACGATGGYTTTTCGKTATCGTTTTCGGTATCTTGAAATACAATGGTGACGATGTCGTTACCGATGTGACGTTTACGCTCAACCTTGAAAGAACAACGTTACGGTTTTGTTACGTTTTTTTCACGTACATTCGTGAAGCTAATTGAGAAATTCTTGAAGAAAACTATGTTACTGTATTATACAGCAATTTTCATCACCATCATCATCACTGCCATGACTGTCATCGTCATCATTATCGCTCTTTAATTATGATTTCTATCATCACTATCTGTTTCTTACCTGTTGAGGGTTGTCGGGTGTGTAAGGRAGTAGTGAAGACACGTGGAACATTATCTCGTGTCCCTCGTAAATCGTGAAAACAGAATGAGAACCCGTCATATCGTCTGAAAGAAACAGACATAGTAGTGGGTAATGTGCTGCGCCATGTGGGATAGGCTCAGAAATCATATAGGATCATGCGCAATAGATAACTGTTGCGAGACTTATGTAAACGAGTAATGACTGACAAATTCTGATAATCACTAGTATAATATCTAGTCTAGCAATCTAAATAGAATCGTATTGCTTCGTACTTTTAACATCCAGTCCACCACGGTATCCTCGCCATCCCTTCAGAGTAATCCGATCTCCAAGCAAACCTAAGAATCGGTTGAAGTCTTCACTTCCCGTCTCTATGGAGGAAAAGTTGTGATTGGATGAAACACAATGAATATTTACAACGCTTTATCACAGTTTTCAACACACCATTGCTAAACATTTCGTCGTCACTTGTCTGTCCTGATTTGGCGTAAAGAACTCCAAACTTAAAGTTTACAGAGCCCTACATAAAGACAAAAAACACTTTAGCTACTGTTCTAAACACTCTTCCTCAGTCTCCTGCTCCTTTTGGTCTTACCTTAAGCAGAGCAGGAGACTGTGGAAGAGATTACTGACCTATAATCACTGTTGAATCGAACTCGATCGAAAAGACTAGAACTCAAAACGATTTGGATTAAATTACTTATATTTTTCTTCAGATACAGAGGGAGAAAACCAAGGSAAAAGAAGGAAAAGGGATGAAATRTCAAGAATAAAGSAAAACAAGGCTGTAGCGCATAAACAACGACGCACCTCTTGTTCCTCGAGAATCAAAAGTTCCTATGAATAAAAGGAAAGTAAAAAATCAGTTTCTCGTGAGGGACAAATTTTAAAATGAATGGAAGACAGAATAAGAAGAAAAACAAACAGACATCAAGACAAAATAGAATGACGAAAGAAGAAGAAGAAGAAGAAGAAGAAGAAGAAGAAGAAGAAGAAGAAGAAGAAGAAGAAGAAGAAGAAGAAGAAGAACAACAACAACAACAACAACAACAACAACAACAACAACAACAACAACAACAAGAATATTACTTGTTGGAATTCTGGACTTAACACTTCTTTAGGGCCTTTATCACATTTCTCAATACCAAATAATCTGCAATACAACAAAATGACCGATAAGATTATCCATATAAAAGATGCTCACTTACCAAACACAGCTTCTCTACTTACTGGAGTATGACCTTTGCAGAAACGGGTTTGTTTGCTGAATACGGAACGCAAATTTTTTCACTTCCCTGGATGAGAAAAGAATGCGTCAAAAGACAAATCTAACATAGTAAGGGACGCAGGATCGATTACGCAAATACGCACGTGCTTACGTAACGTCCGTGCATATCTAACGTAATATTTAACGTAACGTAACAATAATACGTAAGATACCAACCGTCTTTTTCCATAAGATGACTCGATATTGCGGTGCTCCGTAATTGTCGGCGTCAGTAAGACATAAAGAAAGAGTAAAAGGATTCTGTTTTCCATCAACACCAACATAGTTTTGATGAACTATAAACGACAACAGAGAAATAAGTAAGTCTCCGTTGGATTTTGGATTGTTTTTCTTTTTCTGAGTTTCTTTTACGTCTTTTAAGTGCTTTATTTACAATTGTTTCAGTGCTTTTCGTCAAGGCTGTTGTTGCTCGTTATATTTTTGTGATAAGTTGTTTTTGTATTTATCTACCCACCTTTTCCCAGGAAATACTTGAAATACCATCGTGTCTGGAATTCAGGGTTTTCCAGGTGAACCACACTCCCCTGACTGGAACCAAGGCTGCCGCTCTAAAGGAATATCCCAAAAAATCAAATTATCCTTTACGATATATAACAACTCATCAATTTTTGATCTTTAAGTACATTTAGTATCTTTTTAAACGATTTGTTCAAGTTTTACTGAGTTTTTTTCTAAATCAGCATTGTATACACGTTTTCTTTCTTGCTAGATCAACATACAATGCGCGCACTCAGATGCGCACAACCAATGCGCAGTAGAAATGTTCCTTACGGTCAGTTGTCATAGTTACCGGTAGTCCACAGAGCTCATCATTTTCAATTCTGAACTTGGGTGTGATCCCTGAGGACTCGTACTTTGTGTTCAAAGTGTTGAGCTAAAGCGAGAAAAGATTGATTATAAATGAGACTGATTTCAGTTAAATTATGSAGAACTTGGGAATTTATCAGGCCATAATAAAACCAGGACAGTGCATTCAAAATATCACAACCGCGCGCATAAAAAATTGTGCGCACGCCTGAGATATTCTTGAAATCGTCTGCGCATCTTTGAAATTGTTAATTTGAATGATAGAGTTGAAAGTGTACCGTTTCTAGGGATCCATAGTAACGCCTTCTACTCAGACCAGGTCTTCTACCGATGTCTGGTGAAGGAACACTACAAGATAAAAATACAGCAAAGTGTAAGAACACTTTCTAACGTCGAACTTGACATGTGCGGAAGTGAATGTAGATGAGATCATTATGAGGTCCACTGTGTGGTAAAAAAGGTTCAATTATCTTATACACAAGTGATATTCAACGTTTTAGCTAAACTATAAAGGTTTGATAAGTTATGACTTAACCAATCACGAGTGCGATCAAATTTGTTTTTCAATAGAATAATGTTCTTTTAAATGCATACTTGTTTACATTTCTGTTATCACTGCGACACTAGTTCTCGTTAAATTTACCACATTTCGCCCATCACTTGACTAGACACTTTAATTTTCCATTAACTTGGAGTAATACTTGTTATACTTGGTTATCACACCTCTATACATCTACATTTACATCATTCTACATCTACATTTTTTGTGATTTCTGTGTATTTTCTGACATCTTTTTAGGTAGTTTTTTGAACCATAGTTATCGCCGTCAATCGACCACAATTCAACTAACATTTGTAATTATCGATTGAATACAAAACACCTGACGATTGAATATTTCGVCCCCTCTTACATCGTCTAGAGGATACAATATCTAATAAGCCTTGCAGCAAGTTTGTTGAAAACCCTAAAATCCTTCCTAATCTAGAAGACTAACATTAGCTAACTCCCRTGCCGTGTTTTTTGTGGCTTTAGTCACGAGATAAATAAGTGTATTTTTTACACCCTCTGTTACCATAGAAATAACGGAAATTCCTCATTAAAAACAAAGCTGAAATACAGATAAACAATCGCGTTAAATTAAAGAAAAATTGTCAATAGAAAATAATTTGAAAAMATATTTTGAACTAGATGTATACTCRAATTCTTAGAACAGTATGTATATGCAATGAATATGTAAATATCAGCGCTTGTACATATACAATTCAATGTTGCTTTTAAAAGGGTGACTWGGTAGACGGTCAGTTCAGYTTGTGATACCTTAATGCAGTGAAAGTTGAAGCTCGTGGACGACGAGGAACTGAAGATTGGTGAGCTGCCATGAATTGTAACCATCAAAAACGTATCGACATCAGCGGGAGAAAATTATGAAAACCGTTGGCAAAACTTCAAAAAACTGTCGAATTGAATTTCACGCACATCCAGATTCAGTTGTCGATGTTTGATGGGTGTATAATGCTACTTCGATGCGCTTTTTTCTTTCTTCAAAACTGTGCGTAACGTGGAGAAAATATACGCATTGAAAAAGGTCTTTTCTTGATGTTAGTTGGTGATTATTCTTGACGGAGTTTACCGACTAGACTATCAGTTTAGTAAATGCATGTTGTACTTTCAGCTGTACTTTTCAAGCAGCAACTCTTTTTATACGGGGAGAGAAATTCTACTCTCCATGTGTCTGGGCATCTTGGCTTTCCGAGTCAACTAGTAATAAACAGTAATAACTAATAGCATCTGTTTGCAATCAGTCTAGTGCTCTCTATTCACCTGTAGGAAGAAAAAAACAGAATCAAATTAGCATGTCATTCGACTGCGGATCATCATCAAGTTTGATTGAAAGCTGCCATTTTTTGGCTTCTTGGCTCATTTAAAAGTCTAAATATCAAAAACATGTAAATTTTTTAGACGTAACTTTCTTGAATTTAGGATTATCAACACATCATATGATTAACAAGGTGTGATYAATCTATGGRTAATTCGAGTTCATTTTCAGGGAAATTTTGTCAAAATCAACGGGAGACCTGTCTTGTAAACACCTTTTACGAAAATCATAACACAAGAGACCATGAATGGACGCTACATGTGAAATTCACTTAGAAAATATACAAAATMGTACTTATTTTCATAGTTTTATTTTAATATCGTCTCTTTTTTACCTCAAATGTTGAAGGCCTTCACTTCAATAGCGAAGCTTATCAATCAGTTATGTAATATATCTAGAGGACAAAAACCAACCCGGAAATACAACCCGAAATAATGGTACAATAATTGTCGTAAGGTAGTAAAAACACTTTATCCATCAGACAGTTTTTTTCGGCGGTCTATCACAAGTCATTGTGCACAACGCCCGCGAACGGCCGATCATGAACACAGCTTCGTTAAAGCAGGAAACAACATGTTCAAATTTGTCAAAAAAATGATTCGTAATGAATTTATCCCCAGTAAACCACTTATGGCCCACGCATATGACGGATACACTGACTGTTCTAATCAATAATTGAGTGTTTTTATATAGATGTGGGAAGTCATAAACTCAATTTGATTTCAACTAACCTTAAAAGAGAAGACAACTTGTTCAGTTTTTTTTGTTTGTTTTTCTAGGTTCTTTTTTCAAATCGCTTGCAACAGGTTCTTCCGTTCAGTTGTTTTCAAARCACATCCAATGGYTGAGGCGTTGGTAGTCGTACGTGTCTGCGAGGTCGTCTATTTACAAAATAACAGCCGTTGCCGGTATGTCCGTTGCGTGAATCAATAGTGCTTATTGTTGTTGGTGAGATTGATAAAAGTGATGTTTGTAAAGTAGGAAAGACCAGCGCACGTCTCAAGGATCAGATTTCATCGAGCTTTTTCTCTCTATTAGAAGACGTGTTTTGGTGTTAGCTTTTAAAGCCCTGGAGCTCATGAAGTTGTCCTGGCAACGCAATGGGGACCACGTGCATCGAAGGCGATTTCAGTTTCCAATGGATTTATAGATATAAATCACAATGCTTTTCAATAAACTCTCTCTTTATTCCTTATCCTGAATTCAACGCTCTTTCTTCATCAATGAATAAAATGACCACACTTCTGTTATGTACTGTGACATAATCGCGCACATGCACTTTTTGGCTCGAATGCACTCCCGGCAACTACCCAACCAATAAGCATTTCGAGAATTTACTATGTAGTTTTATGATGCAATTATGCAAATTTAGCGAAATCCCATAATCAACGGATCAACGTCTTTGCAATTTTCGTACCCATACCCTACTCTCGCGTATTTGAATTTGGTCGGAAAATGAAAAGGGTCTRGGTCGTAAGGAAACTTTCACCATCAGTGTACGACTGTACCAGCAGTTTTTGACCACAAAAAGTATATGAAATACCACAAAACCCCAATACTAGTATTATTCCTCCCATTTCCTTATCATGAATATTACTAGTATACGCTTTTGATAATGAAGTCATGGTGACCCCGAAACGCCGTGAAATAAATCTACAATCAGCTTTGTACGTCGTTATATTTTTTTAATAGTATACCATATACCATTTCCTATTTCTAAATCGGGATTGTTAATTGAAAAGACACAGAAACATTAGASCTTCACCAGTTTATAAMGACTGACCAATCAACGMGCGCAAACAATAATCTGTCGTGAAATACACTTTAGCTTTCTAACTTTAGCTTTCTAAGTGTAAGTACGTATTTTGCGCTGTTTTCTTCTTCTTTTAGGTAGATTAAACTTTTACTTTTACACATTGTTTCACGGTTTACGAAAACTATGAGCATGTAAAATAAATGTTAAAAAAACAAAAAAACAATACGTTTCTTTTGACGTTTGCTGGGTATCTACGAATAGTCTCCTTCCAGTCTACCTATTTGTCGGGCTTCCTGTCCTCCTACGTAACTGCGAAGGAAAGTCCGGCAGTCACGTGTCAAATTCAACTCATGATTGTCATTGACTTCAGCACATGTCATATTCGAGGTCATATTCGAGGTTATATTCTCAAAAGGAATTAAAAATGACAACACAAAAAAAGACATTAAAATTCTCAAATGAATATCTATGAATAAATAATGAATAAATGAATAAACGAGAATTTTCTAGCTTTCGCAAATGATAACATTTGGGAAGCTTTATAGGGAACAGATAAAGAAGAACAAAAATAATATAAAATCAAAGAATCGAATTGCCKCGAAAAAAGGACGAAATGAATCCGAATGGGAACGAATATGTCCAAAAATGGGCCCAATTAAAACGTGTCTTACGTAATTGCCTGTATCTTGGTCCAATATAAATCGCGGTTACTAGAATAAACAATTACAAAAATAACGAGTCAAAATAATGTCTCTTTCGCCACAGACGAGTTTCTTCACGTAAAAATCTATTGTGCAAAGTTCACGGTCGCACGCAGAAAAAATGAAAKAGAAAAAAAATTGGATTACATAAAAACCCTTGGTTTTTGTATTAAAGGTCTTATATAATAATATTAGTATTTATTGGTATAATCCTGACTTAACTGTTTTTCTAAAATTACTAGCAAGATTTTCCTCGCTTTCAAATGCGAATATTTTAATATGGTTTCTTTTGTCCTTTTTTATGAATAATTTTWTATGCATACATTATATAATTTCACTGTCAAACTTACATTCGCTTTAAATTTTTAAGAATTTTGATATTAAATGATATTTTATATTTAATTTAAAATATATGAAAGTATCTTTTAAATATTTTCATTGCTGTTATAAAACGAAAATTTTTGCACGGAAATGCAATATGCTTTTTTTCAACAACATCAGGTATTTCTTTCCGGACAGTGATATTGTTTATATTTTAAAATCTACTTACCGAAGATTTTTCCCAAAATCGCCGTCATCTCCAGCTACTAAGCACTCTAAAGGCGTTGAATATCTTTTATTTTTCATWGTTGGCCGGGTGCTTTTCTGCTCGTCGAAGATTGAGCTTCTGGGACGTAGTTGTTCTTCCTTCGTGTTCATATTTGTCCGATTGTTATCGCTCATGGCGAGGCTATACATCAAGTTTTACATCAAAAGTCTTGTCTTTGAAGCCACTTTAACATGGATTTACGAAATCCCAAAGAAACCCACCAAGTCATGACGACAAKAGATAATTTGTTCAATTGAAAACTACACTACATTTCAAATTCGTTTCGAGGATGTCGAAAGTGTTTGCCAGCTAGGTTTACCTTAGTCTGTCGTGTGATGAAATACGAGTATCAATGAAAATAAATATCCCTAAATAGACTACATTCGATGATAGTTGTCCACTTRGAGTCGTAATTCCAAAGAGAAAGATCAGTYCTCAATARGAAACAGAGAGATTTATGCAAAGCGAATCGATCTAGCAGCGGGTTGTTTTGCTAGGCTATGAACTGGAACGAGTCGATRGGTTACCATGGCGAACATAAATCGCATGAAATTGTACAGTACATTTCTAAAGACCCCCAAATGTGATACAACACAAAACATCTTTTATTCTTATAACCGATTTACCTTTTTAGCAATACAAAACTTGACGTCAAATGGCTTTTAAATTAGCGTTCATTTTGAGTAAACATCACYCACTATCCAAAACAATACTTATCAATTCACAAATAATATCACTAATTCCTTGACAAACAGAAATATATAAAAACTCCTCTAAAAAGAAAACTTCACAGATAAAGCAAAAGAAAACAGTCCAATCTTAATTTGAGCAATAAATTGATAAATTTTAGTTTGTTATAATTCAGTTGTACTTTTTCGATCTGAGATGTTTTCAGATGTTTTGGTTGTTGTTGTTTTTTTTCTGTCATTTTTTGTGTTATCTGCGAAACTTTTTTTTGCTTATTTTTGCGTTGTTTTAATTTGTTGTTTATATGTTGACGTTCTTTTATGTTATTATCATTTTATTTGAAACTATTTGCCTCATATTTTAGTTGAAATCAGCGCGGGAGTTTCACCAACTGGAAACTTGCACTCATTCCGTTTCGTAGTATTGACATGAAATGCACTTAAGAATCAGGAAAGCTGGCAATAAACTTACTATGATGATCGATACGATTGGTCATACAATGATAATGGCACTTAAACTCTAACAACATTACAACCCTCTACTTAGGACTTGTCAGTGAATGCGTGATGTGTCACACCACACGCTGCGTGACRGGTAAAACGATCTACACAGCTCAGCTACATGGTGGATTAAATCTTGTTTGTTTGCATAGAATTTAATTATGTTTGTTGGTATAGAATAATAACATTTCATTATCTATCGTCGTCAGCAATAGGAATMAAAAATGGGTCGATATTGATCAATTCTWTTAAGTTTCTTCCGATTTCTAAGTTGAAGTGACGCCGAGACGGCGCTTGCTGGGTTCGATACTCTACTTCCAGGTCTGTTTTTGCGTCATTGCATCCGGCGTTGAGCACGCTTGATTCAATGTTTATTATTTRCATGAACAACGACCCTATCGACACAATCTCCTTTTTAGCTCCCTTTCAGAGATAAAAGAACACTTTAGCCACATAGAGCCGTACCCAGTCACCTCGCATTTCCAAGACGCGCGAGCTAGAGACGACTACATGCGCGATTTACAACAAGATTTTATTTTCCAGCTTTTCAAAAATAAAATAAAAAATCAAACCGAGCATAAAAATAGAAAGAATTATGTATAGATTAAAATGCAGAATGTACAGGCAATTCATGGTTCAGTGTATAAAATGGAATTATAATGTTCTATCTTTTGGAAATGTTCTTCCTATTGTAATTTAAATATTTCAGGTTTTTTCTCATTTTTGAATAGTCGATTTTGAAGTTCATACAATTCAGCCCCAGCTTCGWAATAGTGTCTTTTAACGAGCGTTTCGACAAGCCCCGAAGAATATTTCACACGATGATCAACGACCCTTGCAAGAATGACGTATTTCCTGCTTCAAAAGTTCTTGAGGCTATTTTTTTTCACGACGAATTTCATATACGTCGAGTGTAAAATACGTGATATATAAAAATTGAACGACATATCTTTTTTAAAAAACATGACAACAAACGACCGCAAAGGTTCTCGGGTAAAAGTGGTCCCTTTGGAAATCTATGAAACGACACTCGAGCTGAGGTTGAGCGCTATGAACATCAATAAAGACTGTCACTCACACTAATACTTTCCATATTATATACAATCGCGATCAGAATAAAGGGCGTGGTCGAAATCACCTCTTTGCCATGGTAACACAGAGATGACGTCAAAAGTCGTTGTTATAGAAACTGTTAACGACCTGTTGACATTGTTCTTTGTAAACTAATCAAATATTTTGACAYGGATCGGGCGAACGATTAGTGCGCCCTAGCAACGCAGCATATTACTAGGCAACAATATCCGTTGCTAAGTACAGCTTCTGTAAGGAGTATTTCTCAGAGAGTCTCTCAGTACTTTCATTTCGTTAATTTGTTCTCGCAGGTCCTGGACTTGCTTTTTGTAATTATCAATAAACTTTTGTTGCTGTTCCTTTGCAGTTTGTAGTTCTTTGTTTAAATTACTAACATCTTTTTTCTCAAATGACTCCCGCAATTGCTTTATTTCCTGCCGCAGCTCCAGGAGACGAGTCGCATTTACTTGTTGAAGTTTACTAAGCTCTTTAGTGACCGCCTCGACAGACGTCTTTGCTTTATTGATGCTCGTGCTCGCCTTAGTAGCATCGTTCAGAGCTTTTACACTCTTTTCTTTTGCGTCTGTGGAGTACAGTGTGTAATTCTCCTTACAAGCGCTGATAGCTGGTTGAATTTGGCTCACGATTTCTGTAACGTTGGTTTTRATTTTGTGGAAATTTTCTGGAGTGTGTTTTGTAGAATCRGAGTYYGTCTTCAATTTCATCGCTTGGGAATGCACGTTTGAGACATCCTTAAAAAGAAGTGTTGAATTAATTGGTTGACAATAAAGTGATGGCAATGGCAATAAAGAAATAAATGCAATTGATATAAAGTTTTTCACTCATTCATCATGCATTGAGACAACCTATCCATCCTTCCATTCCCTAATTTCTCCTTTCATCTATTCGTTCACCCACCATTTGACAAACCAACCCGCATACACAACCCATCCTTTTCTCATCCAGTSCTTACCTCGTACTCCTTCTTCGCCAAGTCTCTAGCCGTCGTAGCTATGGCAAGACCTTGGTTAGCAATACGCAATGTTGCTTGTATAGATGCATTGATGCTYTGTGTGTATTCAATGGCCTTCTGACTTGTTTGGTTTGCCTCTTTAGACCTCTCCAGAGCTGTGGCAGCGAGCTGTTGAGAATCATTCGCTTTGGACTTAAAGGTTTGTAAAATATTCAACATTTCTTTGGCATCATTATGCGTCTTTTCTGCTGAAGCGACCGCTGCTTTTGCTTCTGTTTCAGCACGTCGAGCTTCGTTGAGCATTGACGTCGCATGGAGGCTGACTGTCTGGACCTGTCCCATCAGCAAAGATGTCTGCTTCATCGAGTGTTCAACAGTTTGTCTCAGTGTCTTGTATTCTTTATTGAAATTCTCTATTGCGGTGATTGATGCTGTAGCATTCTCGTTCAGCGATTTTATCGTTGCTAAAATTGTATTTAATTCAACTTGTTTACTTGGGTTTAACGCATTAACCGACTTTAAAGCCATTTTAGCATTGTTCAGTACGGTGGTCGAATTCTTCAACAGCAGAGAAGCAGTATTGTTTGCTTGATGACCGAGGTTTTTCACTGATTCACAATCTACAAGAAGCTGCCGAATTGTTTCTGTGTTTGTCTTGTGATYTTGTAGTGTTTGCAAGGACGATAAGTTGGCCTCCTGYACCAGCAACTCCGCCGCGTTCATTTTATTAACAATATCTTGCCCTGTGYGATTTTGSTTTGCAGCAAGAGAGTTAGCTTYTTTCTCTAACACGTCAAACACTGAGACCATTTGKGCRATAAATTGTTCTGATTGCGACGCCTGGTTGACCAACAGMTTGATTGAGGAGTTAAGAAGCCGGTATCCATCACTAACCATCTTTACAGTCAACTTAATCAAGTCCTCCGTCATATTCCTGTCACGTGACGCGGAAGCGACCACGCCTTCTAGTGACGTAACACCTGACTTCACTAYACCTGTGAGCATAGCTTCYATTTCGTCCAGGGTTTGATTCAGGCTACTAAGTTCATTRTGAAGGTCCTTTTCGATGTGAGAGGAATTGGTGGCTTTCAGAACAAGAAGACGGACATTTTCTTCGGCTTCTAAGAGACGTTTCTCAAAGGTTGCGTCGCCCGAGCCGCCATTTCTCAAGTTGTAAAGGGCACCTTCTACGGTGGAAATGTTCCCTCGCAGTTCATGTACGAATATTTGAAGAAGACGGTAACAAATCGGACAATCTGTGGGTGTAAAAAGCAAATACAAAGAACGATTGATGATTGATTCATAATTAACAAAGGAAATGCGCTTTTTGGATGTGTTAAGCCGCGGTTATACGAGCGATTTTTCGCTTGCGAAGTCGACGCGATTTTCGGGTACGATGAAAGCTGAACATCGAATTTGAGCTGTTTTTGTAATTATACCTCTTTATGGAGATTCAAATAAGTATTTGTGAGGATTTTTTTATCGATACAGCATTGTCGCTCATGTAGCCACATCGTGCGATGGTGATTTTGAGAAAATCGCGTCGCCTGCGCAAAGAAAAGAGATTCAATGGCGATGAAYACAATAGCGATGATGATAACGCGCTTTTCGTAATGACGTAATGATAAACAGACAGACCGAGACAAATGGACAGAGAGATGAAAATAAGAAATACAGGCAGACAGACAGACTAGAGAAAGACGGACAAAGCAGATTAGTTGCTTACCTATACAGTGTCCTTGTGAGTTATTGTAAGCGTTCTCGTGGCAGCGATCACATATTCGTCCTGATATATTGGCTTTACATACACACTGACCATTGTCAAGATCACAGATACTTTGATTACCGTAAAGGGTGTTAGTCAATAGGCAATTACATGCTGAAACCATTAGAAAACACAGTTAGACTACTATGTAAAAATAGACTTAAAGTTGAACATTATGGGAAGCCTCTAGCCTCCTTCGCAAGCAACTCCACTCCTCGGGATTCCTTTGTGTAGTCGAACAATCTACCGAAGGGGGAGGGGYAAGTAAGGATGGAAGAATCTCTTGACACCAGTTCCTYTCGATCAAGATTATGAGGAGGACCAGAAAGATGAAAACTTTTCCGCTTGAGAAGCCTGCGAAGGAWGCCTCCTATTTACTYTGTGAGGTACCATACAATACATGATTTACTTACCTCCACAACCGTCAAACTTATTCAGATAAAGGCCATAATAYCCAGGAAAGCACTTATCACAATCGGTACTGTTATCCACACCAGGTTCGCATTGGTCGCAGAAAKCACCCATCGATCCAGTCCTACAGTTCTTACAYCTACTTGTYTCACCATCACAATCCTTRGATCGGTTCGTACAGCTGCAGAGTTCACAACGAGTGCTGTATTGTGGGTTTGATGACTTCAATGTGTTACTAGGGAAACGGGTATAGCCTAAAAGGAAAATGGTAATAGGTCAAGAAAGAACGAATGAATAAAAATGGTAAAATGAATGAAGAAATAAAAAAGAAAGAGAATGAATAAATGAATAAATACGAGAGCACTTTTCACAAAGATCCCTACCTTGATGGCAAAGCTCACAAGATAGGCCAGTATAATTCCTTTGATTACAAGTACAATTCTCCACATTGCCAGCAGCTTCTCCAACATTYCCCTCCTTMGCTGTACTGAGCTTTGCTGAAGAGATCTCCAGTGAACCAKTGGAATTAAAAACTGCCTTTAGCTTAATGTTGATCAAATGAGCGAGYGATTTCTGCAACTCCTTTGCTGTAATAGGCTSAATGGAGTTTGACTCGTGTAAAAGAGCACGATAAGAAGTGACGTTCATTGAGGGTTGAGGAGAAACCCTTAGTTCTTTCTTTGATATTCCAATAGCAGACTCGGTAACAATGCTTAAATTAACATCCAGCCCTTTAGATGACGAAAATGTCATATYGAAAGTTAAAAATTGACCATAGGAGCGAAACAGKAGAGGGCGTGATAAACCTGAGASAAGTAGAGTTCCTGACTCKTTGGTTAAGTAATGTACAGTGATAGTYTGACTGTTTACTTTCATGTTACGAATGCCTTTATCTGGYTGCCATGAGTTGTTCACTGGATTTGATTCAATGAAAGATTTAACGAATCCCTTAGCTGACGTACAGGTGCTAGATCGGCCATAGCAGTAACAAGGGGTGCAACCTGTTGGATTAATGGCGTCACGATTGAAGAAGCCTTGTTTGCAGTTATTGCAYTTGAAGCCTTGTACATTCGCCTTGCAGTCACATCGTCCTGTTTGTAAATGGCAYTGCAACGTACTGGACCCGTCTTTATCACAGTGGCAAGACCTTATGGAGTAAAAATTAGTGAACATTAATGAATAGGATAGGATGAGAATAGAAAATGAATGGAATATAGAAAAGGATGGATTGGAATAAAATGGAAAATGAAATGAAATAGAATGGGAAACGGTACAGAACGAAATAGAATGGAAAATGGAATAGAATGACATAGAATGGAAATGGAAAAGAATGGAAAATGGAATAGAATGGGAAATGGGAAACGAAATACAGTTCAATACTTACTGGCATCCATCAGTGGTGTAATTATAATATCCATGTCTACATCGATCACACTTTTCTCCATCAGTGCTATTCTTACAAGGACAAACCCCAGTCACGCCATCACATTGTAAATCCACTGAACCACTTGAATTACATTTACARTCCGTACAGCCTTTTCCAGTATCAAAGCCATAATATGTGTGATTRCACCTTTCACAAGTACGAGTGACAACACCAGGCTTACATGGACATTGGCCAGTAGTTACATCACAGACCAGATGATGAGAACCAGTWGAATTGCATTTGCATGCTGTAAAGAGATAGAATATTACTAGTTAAATAATGTATATTAATAGCTGTGTGGAGAATCATCCCTAATATTTTTTATCCATCTATAATCATTATTGATTGTACTAATGTTTGGATAAAGAAGTTTTTGCTTGTTTTTGAATGAAAAGGATGAACAAGGAATGGATGGCTGGATGAGTGAATGAATGAATGGAAGATCAAACAAATGGATGACTGAATAGATATCACTGAATGGATAAATGGATGGAAGGATGAATAAACAAAGATAATTAGAACTGAATGAACCAGTATATAGCACAAAAAAAATGAAATGAAAAAAACATTCAAAAGAACAAATACCTGTACAGCCAGTGGTGGTTAAGTTGTAGTAGCCTGGCATGCACCGGTCACATGTCCTTCCAGTAACACCAGGTTTGCATTGACACTGTCCTCCATGTGGATTACATGTTTTATTTGACTCAGAACCAACGCTGTTACAACCACATGCTATATATACAACAAGAATAATATTCCAGTTGATAAACAAATTAAGCCAAAAGAAAATGACAATATAATATAGAAAAAGAGGAGATGAAGAATAAAAGATGAAAAAGTGGAAGTTAGTAATCAAAGTGTATAGAAAGCAGAAGAAAGAAGAAAGTATGAAAAACTTACRCCAAGCTCCATCAAATACTTGTGCCATCAAAGAGTATGTAATATTCTTGCAAACTGGTTGACTTTGCCTGGCACCCACCAAGGTTGTCCAGTTATTCCAGCAGCCTTCAATGGTCTTGACATCATATCCGTGGGCATCCCCTTCTTCTTTGGCAATCTTATAAAGCCTTAAATCGCTGAGTTTAGGATATAATATCAATGAGTCTATATCTATGGATGTATTTACTGCTGCACCAACACCGTATGATATATTGAAGGTTAATTCCTTTCCTTTGCAGACTGTTATAGTATCACTGGACATCCATGCCTGACCTTTGCCTTTCTTAAGACCAGTTATATCAATTGTTTTACTTGTACCTACACAATTTTCAGCTCCAGGGGGTGCTGTAACTTCCATTCGTAGAGGGACATTAACATGTGAAGGATATGTATACCTCACAACTATATTTGCAGTAAATGTGCTGTCAGTCMTAATTTTAAAGTTAATATATTGCCCTGGAGTTATTCTACTATAACCACGTCCTGTGAAGTGCGTATTGAGGTCTACAGTGTTAGCTGTGTACTGGTAGTTTCCCCCTGACTGCTCTGCTTCTATTTTGWAATAGTCWAGGTTCCCAACAAAGAATCCAGGGRGGAYAACTCTACARCGCATTCCTTGGATGTTCTTTCTGCACTCACAATCACCTTTAAACAAATTAAATTTCAATGAAATTATTCCACAGGAAATATTACAAGGRAATTAAACATGATGGAGTGAAATTGAGAGTATCAACATGAATTTGGAGACTTGACTGGATATATAAAAAAAACTTCCTTCTGATTCTTTCTCTAATTTCTACATCATGTTCAACAATTAACAAAACTTTATTGTTCAGTGATCTTGGTTGGTAGCTATGATATTCATTGAATGGTAGTTGCAGTCATGCATAAATGTGTTTAAATGYTAAGTTCTCTGTCAATTATTTTAAATATTATTTTGTTTTTAAAGGTTTCCTTTTTTCACTTACCAGTTACTTTGCTGCATATTCCAGTTGAAGAACCTCCATAGTCACAGTCACACGGCAAGCAGTCATCGGTGATGTTTTCAGGGAATTTATAGAAGCCATGTTTACATCTTGAACATGTCTTTTGGTCAATGTTGTCTTTACAAGTACACTGGCCTGACATCTGGTCACAGTTAAGTGAACCATTTTYGGTTCCAGTRATAAYGCAGTTRCAAGCTGACAAAACAAGGAACAGAGGTATTAGAACCAACCTTCAAGAATACTAAGTCAATACCTATCAATAATACATGCATAGATATTCGATTACCTRTGCAATGTCCAATTTTGTCTACTTTATATCCCCAGTATGTATCCACACATCTGTCGCATCGACGACCTGTCACATTCTGTCGRCATACACACTGACCAYTCTCGACRTYGCATGATCCATTATTGAGTATTCCTTCCATGAAACAGTCACAAGCTAAAAATATACAAGAAAAAGATTTGTTTTGGATTTTGTACAATGCAATAAAAACTACAGTTTATAATGATATAATGGCACAGCTATTTATACCCATAACTAGTTATATTCTGTAAATTGGTCCTAAAACCTAATTAAAAAAAATCGTTGTTGGGTTGCAAAGGT